ATTTGAGTTCTTTTTATTTTGGAAAGGCAATCCAAGTTTATTTTACAAAACATTACGTGTACGAGACAATTCAAAGTGCTTCACAAAGGATTTAAAAGCAGAAAAACAAAGAAAAAAATGTCTAAATAAATAAGTTAGATCAGTTAGATACAAAGTGAAGGGTTTCCTGCTCACAGAGAAAAACCGGTCTGGAAGCAGCAGAGCTTAGCAGACTCATTTTAACGACTAATTTCCTCAGAAAATCCTCAGAAAATCAAGGGATTGCTATGTCATTTGAGTTCTTTTTATTTTATTTTGGAAAGGCAAGTTTATTCTACAGAACATCTCATGTACGAGACTAGTTTTTCCATTAGTCGACTAATCTTAAGGACTATATTCCCAAAAAATCAATGGATTGCTATTTTATTTGAGTTCTTTTTATTTTGGAAAGGCAATCCAAGTTTATTTTACAGAGCATTTTGACAATTAAAAGTCAGAACATTTCATGTACGAGACAATTCAAAGTGCTTCATAAAGGATGTAAAAGCAGAAAAACAAACAAAGAAAAAATCATCTAAATAGATAAGATAAATTAGTTAATAAAATAAGTTAGATTTGTTAGATACAAAGTGAAGGGTTTCCTGCTCACAGAGGAACCGGTCTGGAAAAAGCAGAGCTTAGTCGACTCATTTTTAGGACTAATTTCCTCAGAAAATCAAGGGATTGCTATTTCATTAGAGTAGTTTTTCTTTTGGAAAGGCAATCCAAGTTTATTCCACAGAACATCTCGTGTACGAGACAATTCAAAGTGCTTCACAAAGAGTGTAAAAGCAGAAAAACAAAGAAAGAAAAAATAATCTAAATAAATTAGATAAATTAGTTAGTTAAGATAAGATTAGTTAGAAACAAAGTGAAGGGTTTCCTGTTCACAGAGAAACCGGTCTGGAAGCAGCAACTAGCCGTCTGCTAAAGGCTTATATCAACGACTAGTTTTTCCATTAGTCGACTAATTTTAAGGACTAATTTCCTCCGAAAATAAAGGGATTGCTATTTCATTTGAGTTCTTTTTATTTTGGAAAGGCAATCCAAGTTTATTCTACAGAACATTTCGTGTACGAGACTATTCAAAGTGCTTCCCAAAGGATTTAAAAGCAGAAAAACAAAGAAAAAAAATTCTAAATAAATAAGTTATATTAGATACAAAGTGAAGGGTTTCCTGCTCACAGAGAAACCGGTCTGGAAGCAGCAGAGCTTAGTCGACTCATTTTAAGGACTAATTTCCCAAAAAATCAAGGGATTGCTATTTCATTAGAGTAGTTTTTATTTTGGAAAGGCAATCCAAGTTTATTTTACAGAACATCTCGTGTACGAGACAATTCAAACTGCTTCCCAAAGGATGTAAAAGCAGAAAAACAAAGAAATAAAAAAGAATCTAAATCTAAGTAAATAGGATAAATTAGTTAAGAAAATAAGATTAGTTAGATACAAAGTGAAGGCTTTCCTGCTCACAGAGAAACCGGTCTGGAAGCAGCAGAGCTTAGCAGACTCATTTTAACGACTAATTTCCCAAAAAATCCTCAGAAAATAAAGGGATTGCTATGTCATTTGAGTTCTTTTTATTTTGGAAAGGCAATCCAAGTTTATTCTACAGAACATCTCGTGTACGAGACAATTCAAAGTGCTTCACAAAGGATGTAAAAGCAGAAAAACAAAGAAAGAAAAAATAATCTAAATAAATGAGATAAATTAGTTAGATAAGATAAGATTAGTTAGATACAAAGTGAAGGGTTTCCTGCTCACAGAGAAACCGGTCTGGAAAAAGCAGAGCTTAGTCGACTCATTTTTAGGACTAATTTCCCAAAAAATCAAGGGATTGCTATTTCATTAGAGTAGTTTTTCTTTTGGAAAGGCAATCCAAGTTTATTCTAAAGAACATCTCGTGTACGAGACAATTCAAACTGCTTCACAAAGGATGTAAAAGCAGAAAAACAAAGAAAGAAAAAGGAATCTAAATACATTAGATGAATTAGTTAGATCAAATAAGT